AGAGAATATAATAAACATGAAAAATATAATTTATTTTATAAAAAAGTACACTTATTTTGAGAAACCCTTCGTTTCTACCTCTTAGAGTTCTTTTTCAAGAAAATTTGAAAAAACCCTATACTTTTTCAAGAAAGATAAAAAAAAGACAGTTCCTTGTACTTTTTAAAGAAAAAACTCTTCTTTCTTCTCTTCTCTGTACTTTTTCAAGCTTTGTCCTCTTTAGGTTACTGGAAACTGATTTTTTCTTCCCCAAATCTTTTCTCGGCTCCGGTCAAAGTCCTCGAATCGAATTGACCGAATCCGACACGCACCTCGCACCCGCACCTGCGCCCGCACCAGTGTCGCTTCGAGATGGGTTCACTTGCAAATATGAAGAGTCCGCGCAATATAGCCTGCAACTGCTACCCTTTGGGTGCGCACAGGGTTAAACCCCCGCTCCTATGCAATAGCTCGCAAACTAAATAGGAGAGGTAACCCGCACTGGGCAATTCCGGTGTGACGAGCTCGACCTAGAAGGCAAACCCCTTGCTTTCGCTGGCAAGGGGTTTCAAACTTGAGACCTCCAACATAGAAGTCCCAAGCCCAAACCACTGGGCCACCCCGAAGGGTAAAAGCTACTACTTTTTAGGAAGTCAACATTAATCCTCAGGTGGCATTGAACCTTAAAAGCTTCCAACAAATAGTAAACTAAGAAGAAATCAATCAAACAATCAAATATAATATTCGAAAGATACAAAGTCATGTATATGAACAATGGAGTACTTCAAGAATTTAATCTACTGCAAACAAAGGAAATCTTTAGCAATTGACAAGGAAAAAATACATTTCCACAATTTTAGCATGATATATCAGTATATAGTCGAATGTTTAACAGTGGACCAAGAAAATAAAGCAATGTCATTTAACGAACTAATCAAATTTTGAAAAGAAAAAAAAACCACAATAAGAGAATACAAAATGATTTTTTTATTTACCACTAGTTATTTATGTTATAATAACAACTGGGTAAATTCTCATATTCATCGCATAAATCTTACATATAAATTAGGCGAGTTCAAAGAAAAGCAATTTTACAATTTCTAGGCTAATGGAAACATACTCAAACAGCTAATAACAAACACGATTCCACCTGGTTCTGGGCAGAGACTGAGACCAAAACGAACATAGGAGTAGTGACTTCACCACGAATGAAAATCAACAGAGCTACGATGAAGAATCTTTGTTGACACTGGTCATCATTCTCAATTTGAGGAACTCAATCTTACAGAACAAAGCCTTAGAGTTATGTTAAAGAGAAAGACTAATGATGTAGTCTTGGGCCATTTATGGGCTTCTACTTATAGAAGAGTGATGGACCAAGTATTTTCCTCTTTCATAGAAAGACTATGGATTCAACTCTTCTGGTTTTTCTTTTTCTTTTATTTTATATAGAGAATAAAGTTTGTTATAGGATTGACAAATTGTAAATAGGACAGCTGGAGGTTAGTTACAGATTTAGGTTTCTTCTTTCTAGCATATATATAGCAACGCTTGTACAATGGATTGGATTATTACATTTTTCATTTTTTCAATATCACGAGAGAAAATTCCCAAAGTTTCTTTCTTTTTCCCACTTGGTATCAGAGCAATATGAATTTTTTCTTCTGCTTTCTTCTGTTGAATCTCTATTATTTCAATCATGGTTGAAACCATTGATATGTCGAGCACCGTTGTTTTGATTGGAGCACTCGGTGCTTCTCACCCTCACTACCTTCACCCATCTGATTCTCTCAGAATGATGCTGGTTCACTCCCTTTTTTATGGCAAAGGATTTGCTGGTTGGAAAGAGCTATTGTGATTGCTATTTCTGCCAAAAACAAGTTGAGTTTCATTGATTCTTCTCCCATTGTGCCTCTTATCACATCACCTCAGCATTCTGCTTGACGCAGATGCAACAATATGGTAATTTATTGGATCCTCAACTCTCTTTTGCGAGACATAGCTGAATTTGTCTTGTATTATCCTACTGCAAAAAAATCTGGAAGGAATTAGAAGCTAGATTTGGGCAGTGCAATGGAGCACAATTATATCAACTTCAAAAGGAACTCAATGATGTTGTACAGGAAAAAATGATATCGCAAGTTACTTCACCAAGGTGAAGAAGTTATAGGATGAACTCGATGCTCTTAATGTTTCTAATTATTATGCTTGTGCTTGAACATGTGAAAGAAAGGCGAAAACTGCAAAATACCATCAGAATGGTAGACTCATTCAATTTTTAATGGGTCTAAATGAGGCATACTCAGGTGTAATGTGTAGTATTCTGATGATGGACCCTCTGCCAAGTGTGGGTCAGGCTTACTCCTTGCTCATTCAGGATGAAAAGCAGCGTGAAGTGCACGTAGTCTCACAACCTGCAGACGTTGCTTTCATGGCAAACTATCAAAAGTTCCAGAGAAGATTCACTCCTCATAACTCTCCCAATGTGGATAGACGGATCAATCCTAATTTTGACAAACCTAAGACAGGGAAGTTTTGCACTCATTGTAAGCTTACTAATAATGAGGTTGCTAATTGTTACATATTAATTGGATTTCCCTCAAATTTCAAATTCACAAAGTCCAAGAGGAACCCAAGTTTTGGTACCACTATTGCACAGGTTAGAATTTCACAATCACATAATGGTATGTCCACTGGACAATACTTCTCTCCTGAGCAATCCTCACATCTATTCCAGCTTATGCAAGATGCCATGCTTAGCCAACAAAATGAGAAACAATCAGATGTCAATGTCTTAGCCAATTGTGCTGGTATAATCAAACCACTTCTCGATCCTATTACGTTTTCTTTATTCAGCCATATTGATTCATATTCATTGATTCTTGATTCAGGTACTTCCGAGCACATGACTTATGAATCTTCACTCCATTTCAATCTCACTTCCTTACCCTCTCCTATATATGTTTGTTTGCCTAATTCACATCGATTGAAGGTAACTCACAAGGGCGGTGTTTCTTTACTTCATGATCTTGTTCTTCATAATATGCTTTATGTGCCGAATTTCAAGTTTAATTTATTGTCCGTTCACAAATTCACTACTCAACTAACCAGTATCTTGATTTTCTCATCCTTTTGTGCTATATTACAGGGCCCTTCTATGAAGAGGCCACTGGTTCTTGGTAAAGTCCATGGTGAGCTTTATCTTCTCAACACAACTCCACTCCAGTCCAGCCATGTTCATGTTTCCACTACCTCTACTCAAGATGATCATTTGGTTGCTCATACTCTTTGTAATGAATCTGCTTTAGTAGCTAATCTAGTTCTATTTCAATTCCTTCAAAGCTTATCGCTAATGATGTAAGCCTCTGGCACAATAGATTGGGGCATTTGCCCATATCTAATATGAAAAATCTTTCTATTTTTCACTATGTATGTATTTCTTATTTTATTGTTCCTTGTGATAGTTGTTTCAAAGCTCGCCAGGCTAAGTTGTCTTTCCAACCTTCCATCATTTCCTCTAAATCCATTTTTAATCTTATACATGTGAACACTTGGGGACCTTACAAGGTTTCAAATCACAATGGTTATCGCTATTTTTTAAACTATTGTAGATGATTACAGCAGAGCAACTTGGACCTATCTTCTTAAAACCAAAAGCAATGCTTTCACCATTATAAAATATTTCATCACCTTAGTGGAAAAACAGTCTAATAGTTTTGTTAAAATTATCAGGCCTGACAATGCTAAAGAAATTGGTTCAAGTTTGGCGAGTTCTGATTTTCTTTCTTCTAAAGGTATACTTCATCAAATCACTTGTGTTGGTACTTCACAACAAAATGGTGTGGTTGAACGAAAGCATAAACACTTTCTTGAAACCTGTCATGCCCTTTTATTTCAGTCTCATATACCTTCTATCTATTGGGGGAGTGTTTTCTTATAGCTACTTATTTGATTAATAGGTTTCCATCTAGGGTTCTTAATTCACATACACCTTATCAATTGCTCTTTGGGACAATCCCTTCTTATGAATCCTTACGAGCTTTTGGTTGTCTTTGTTATTCCACAACTTTGTCTCAATCTCGTTCCAAACTTGATGCAAGGGGTGTTAGATGTGTTTTCATTAGGTATCCTTTCAATAAAAAAATGTTATAAGTTGCTTAATCTAGATTCCAAACAATTTTTTGTCTCTAGGAATGTTAAATTCTATGAAAATATCTTTCCTCTCTCTTCTTTCGATACCTCGCTCACTCATTCTCCCCTTTTTCCACCCATCCCTGATTTACATGTTTTTTCTGATTTGTCTACTTTGCCCATTTCCGTGCCTTCATCTCCTTCCCTTTCTCATGTTACTTCTCCTATCATCGATCATACTCCTTCTCCTCCTATGTCTACAAAATCTCTACCCTCCAATGTATCTCCACCTAGAAGATCCTCCAAAATTTCTCATCCTTCTAGCTACTTAGCAGATTATTTTTGCAATTCTGTTTACTACACTAACCTTCATTCTTCTTGTTTCTCTGCTATTTCTACTTTTCCTTCCATACATTTTTCTTCCCTTTCTGCCTCCAATAGGTCTCTCCTCTCTTCCACCTCTCCCATTTTTTAACCTACTTCATATTCTCAAGCATGCCATCACCCTTGTTGGCAAGAGGCTATGGCAGCTGAATTTGCCGCTCTTGAGGCTAACCAAACTTGGCAGGTTGTTGAACTTCCTACTGGTCACAAAGCTCTCCCGTGCAAATGGGTATACAAGGTTAAGTACATTGCAGATGGCAGTGTTGATCGATTTAAAGCTTGCTTAGTTGTTCGTGGGGATGTTCAAAGAGAAGGGATTGACTATACCGAGACCTTTTAACCTGGAGTTTGTCTTCTTGTTGTCTATGTCGACGACATCCTTCTAACAAGGGATGACCTCATTGAAATTTCTCTCATCAAGCAATTTCTTCATTCGAAGTTTAAGATTGAAATTGATTCTAAAAGAACCTATTTCACCAAGTAGTGCTAATTTCTCCCTTTTTAGAATGGCTCCAGTGGCTACATTTATGTTAAGTCTTAAGGATTTGGGTGAAGCACACTTCTTTCTAGGCATGGAATTGCTTAAAGAACCTCAGGGTCTTATTCTTACACAAAGGAAATTCACTTTGGATTTGTTGTCCGAGTTTGATTGCTTGGATAAATGCCCTGCAGTATCTCCCTTTGAACCATCCTTCAAACTTCATGCTGATGTGGGTGATCTTCTCCCGAATCCTTCCGTTTATCGTCGCCTCATTGGTAAGCTCAATTTTTGACTCACACCCGACCTGTCTTGGTTTTTGTTGTTCAACACTTGAGTCAGTACATGCAGACTCCCCGTGTTCCTCATCTTGCAGCTGCAACTCATTGCATGCGTTATCTCCTATCCACCACTGGTATTCAAGTTACTTGCTTTTTACTATTTTGATTGGGGTTCTTGTTTGGAAACTCGTCGCTCTGTTAGTGGCAATTTTGTGAGTTTGGGTGGCTCACCTATCTCGTGGAAATCAAAGAAACAACCTATTGTATCTCTTTCTTCCGATGAGGTGGAGTATTGCTCTATGAGTCGTGTGGTTGCGAAAATCACCTGGCTGGTGCGTTTGCTTTCAGACCTCACTGTTTCTCCTACCCTTCCCGTGTCTCTTCACTCCGACAGTCAGACTGCTATTCACATTGCTAAAAACCCGGTCTTTCATTAACGCACCAAGCATGTGGAACTTGATTGTCATTTCGTTCGTTAGCAGTTCCTCTCTGGGCTCATTTCTCTGGTTTTTGTCCCTTCTACCTCTTAACTTGCCGACGTTTTCACCAAGCCTCTTCCTGGTCATCATCATCTCCGCCTCACCTACAAGTTAGGAGTGGTCTCACACCCCTCCAACTTGAGGGGGGTGTTGACACTGGTCATCATTCTCTGAGGAACTCAATCTTACAAAACAAAGGCCTCAGACTTATGTTGAAGAGAAAGACTAATGATGCAGTCTTGGGCCATTTATGGGTTTCTACTTATAGAAGAGTGATGTGCCAAGTATTTTCCTCTCTCATAGAAAGACTCTGGATTTAACTTTTTTAGCTTTTCTTTTTCTTTTATTTTATATAGAGAATAAAGTTTGTTATAGGACTGACCAATTGTAAATAAGATAGCTGGAGGTTAGTTACAGATTTAGGTTTCTTCTTTCTAGCATATATAGCAACACTTGTACAATGGATTGGATTATCACGTTTTTCATTTTTTCAATATCACGAGAGAAAATTCCCAAACAATCTTTCTTTTTCCTACAATCTTCAATGCAAGCTTCGAAACATAATTCTAGAACTCGGAATTTCCAGACTTAATAGATATAGATATCCCTTTCTTCTTGCAAATATATTCTTGTATGTAGTCTTTAGCTACTGGGAAATCGAAAAATCTAAAGGAAGCCAAAAACCAAAACTCGAACCTATTTCGTATATGATTTTTATAGCTATTTCTTACTAAGTATTTCTCTCTGAAGTCCCAACCTTTTCCAACTCCATTTTTTCCTGACCTTTTAGGCGAACCTCTCTAATGAAGAAGAAAATGGGCTTTTATAGAGGAGAATAGAGCCGTAATTTGGGGGAAAATTTTGGGTGGAATTGGGTGAATTCGAATTTCAAATTTAAAATCCCTCAAAAAAGATAAGGCTGCTAGCTCCATTTAGTGCCATTCTCGTACAATTCCTCTACGGAAAAATGGTGAGGGCCGTCCAATTCCTTGGTGAAGGACGAAGGAGATGCAAGATCGCTCCACATGTTGATTCGAGTACGGATATAAGGGAGAGAGGAGACGCACATGCTAGCTCGGGTTTGGGCTGTTTCGCGATCGAGGTTCTGGGTTTGCGTCTGGACTGCTGAAATTTGGGTTGCTGCGTTTCTGGGCTGTGCTAGTTGAAGAAGAAGAAGAAGAACGCACAACGGTGGGTTGGTTTTGACGTTGTGTTGCTGGGTATTACTATTGGATTCTTTTGGTATTGGGTCAGTGGGCTGGGATATTGAATGCATTTTGAAGAAATTTGGAAAAGAATATGGGCTGGAACAATTGGCCCCTTTTTGGGTCTTACAAAAGATAAAGGAGGGGTTAGAAATGGCTAAAATCGCAAATAAATAATAGCCATATGAGTTTTGATTATAGCCAAATCAAAATTAGTCGGGAATTTAGCCTATATTTAAACAAGATGGATTTTCATAAATTAATTGAGGAGCTTCTTAAATTTAATGAAATATAATAATTAATTTGATTATAAAATCATTAATTTAAATACAAACTAATTTATTCAAAATTAAAACTATAATTCGACCTAAAGCTAAATTAATAAAATATATATTTTAACAATGTAGAAGTCTTTTAATATGATTTTCAACTACTTATAAAATATACTAGTTATATAAAATATATTTATTACTCAAAAATATTATAAAATGACTAAAAACACTTTAAAACTTAAAAGATATGTTGGACTTTTTTATAAAACTAATTATTCCAAATCGTTTGAAAATTAAGAAGTTCAAAAATTGAATTCTACGGGGAGGATCAAAATTGGGTGTCAACATATATCATGTAAGATTAGATATTACATTTTTTATTGTTTATATTAAATTAATCACGCATCGAAGCTTTTACCTACCTAAATTATGTACACTATAAAACCATCTTTCATAATTTTTTTGAAATTTTATTTAAAACATATCACATGTAGTGTAGAGGTATTTATTCTTCAATTTTAATAAATGAATGCCATAAAAGCAAATATCACATATCGTGGAGAGAATTTATGGAAGGTTCATCAATTATTATTACTCAAGAAGTGATTTTTTGAATGGTGATATGAAGAGGATGATCAATGCCATACTCTATGAGTTCCTCTTAAGGAAATCTTTTTTTATGGAAAAGAAGGTATTTATAAAAATAATATTATAGAAGTTGTAAACATAAATATTTAATATATATAGTAGCATTATACAGGTGCTACAATTTCCATAAAACATCAATATCTAATATAGTAGCATTACGTAGGTTGATCCATTTACAACATTTTAATGGGATATATACCTAAAATATTTACTTAAGAAACAAAAATATGTGGCTCATTGAACTTTTAAACAATTTTGAAAAATAGTTTCAGAAAACATTAATATTTAATTGCCTGCTAAAAATTACTACTAAAACTTATACAGTCATATACATATTTTATACAAAATTTATATATGAATGTGAGTAAGATTTCATTCGTGATTTTTTTTTCCAGAAATCTAAAATGTCCTTTATACAATAGTTATACAGTTATTTATAACATACCAATTTTATGTTATATTTTTATACAAATTTGTGACCAAAATTCTAAGTTTTGAGTGAGTATACATATTTAATACTGATTTTATATAGTTTTTATACACCAAAAATGAAAAAAAAATCTAAGTCTTGAGTGAGATACACATATTTCATACCGATTTGCGTATACAAAAACTGTGCGAAAAATTCCAAGCCTTGAGCGAGATATACATATTGTTATTATGTCTCATGATTTTACTTCTTTTGAAAATCACTTTGAAATGTCGAAAAAGCATTCACACTTGAGCAAAAATATTTAAAATAGAGTTGCCACTTAATTATTGAGAGAAATTAAGAAAACTTATTTTTCAAAAGACTTTAACAGAAAATCCTTCAAAAATTTAGAGATTTGGGTAAGTGCTTCTCATTTCCACTTCTTGAAGATATTGGCACTTGAAATGTCATTTAACTAAAAAATGTTTGACTAACTTTGAGAAAATAATTTAAATATATAAAAGGCATTTGATATAGTTAGGAATTTGAAAAAATTCAAATAATCAAAGAGTAAGTGAAAATTTGATCAAAAACACTTGAATTAAGTTATCAAAATTGAATCAAGAGTTGATAAATGAAATTCATTTAACAATGTAGTCCAACACAAAATAAATTAGTTAATCTTTTGTGAAATTCGACTAAGTTAATGTTTGAATTAAACAAATTTTTAAACAAATAATTTATAAGTAAAAATAATTAAACAATTAAGGAAAATAATGGTTTAAAAGGGAAATCCTCGCTCCCCAACGAATTGGGCTTGAGGTCCAAGACCACTTGCAAATCTGCTACCATTTAAGGGCATCGACCATTTTTTTTATGTATATCAGATGTATACAGTCTGTATATCATGTTTTTGCACCTGTATATTAGCTTCCCTTACACCTGTATATCAGCTTCCCTTTACACCTGGATAATAGCTTCCACTCTTCTTCATCGGATCCGAGAGTTGACTCAATAAAAAGAAAAGAAGATTAGCTTATAACAAAGTTTAAACTTAAATAAAGGAAACTCATGTTCTAATTATAGATGATTCTAATTAACAAACAGGGGCAGGGGATCAATATTCTCAAATTTTCTTATGACTTAATTATGCAATGGGCATCAGAGGGGAGTACAATACTCGCATTGTATCAAAACCTGGATGACATTCGAAATTGAAACGACTATAAGAGTATCTATCAAGTTACTAAGTCACACTATGAAAGTTTGGAAGAGGATGGTGAGGAGGGACGTCGAAATTTCCGTGAACTAGCTTGTATTCATGTCGGACGCTCAACTAAAAAAGTCATTCATCTAGTAAGAAAATTGGTGGAGCATTATAGAGAGAAAAAAAGATTACACATAGTAAAATAATAATCTTATTTTATTATAATTATTTTTTATCCTTATATAAATATAAATTATACACATAGTAAAAGTATAATAATTATTTTATTATACTTTTGTTAAAGTGATTTTAAAAGAAAGAAAACAAGGACAATGTTCTTTAATAATATTTTAATTAGAAAGAAGATGTGTTTAAAAAGAAAAGAAAGTAAAAATATTTATTCGAAAAAGGGCATTTTTGACCCATTTAGTAACTATAGGGGCATTTTTTAATCAAAATATTGACAGCAATGACATTTTTGAGCCAAACTATAAACGAAGGACATTTTTATTCCTTTCACATAGTTTAAGGACATTTTTTACTCTTTCCCCTTATTTTTTTAACGGAAATTGAGGGAGTTCTTGGTTTTTAAAGTGCAAAACTGCATTTGAAGTATATAAATAGAAACAATTAAAATATTTTATCAAAGTGTATGTGTGGTTGACTAGTAAAAAATGTCCAATGTTATAGTAAGTATTTGGGTTCAAGTCCAAATAGCTGCATTTTTATGTATATTTATGAAAAGTCGACCCAATTGGTATTGTAATTTTTATGTTTTTTCTTAGAGTTTTATGTTGGTATTGTAATTTATTGAAACTGACAAGCTTGGTCGGATATCCCTCAGTTTTAATCAATCAAATTTGATTTCGTAAAATCGATCCGGATCTACAACTTGTCGGTCAAAAATCTTAAAATATTAATCAAGTTTTTATTTTGACCTAATTTTAAGAAGTGAATATTGTTGACTCTCAATTTTTGGCCCTCCACAATATGGATTAATCATTGGGTTTTTTTAATTTCAAACAATTTGAAATAATTAACTTTTATAAATTCAAAATATTTCAATTTATTTTTAAAGTAATTTTGTCTTTTTTATAAATTTTAAATAATATATATGTTTCTATATAATTATATTTATAATTACTTCCTTTTATAAATTTTTGAAAATCGTCTCAAAATATTTTATTTTTTAACTAAATATTTTATTAATTAGT